GGTGGTCCACTTTCTCTACGTTTCTGTTTGGCTGCTTGAATAACCGATGTGAATTGGTCGTTGGATACGACTGATTCTGGTTGCTCGACTTCGGGATTTGGATTGTCGGCACTGGGGCGGCTGTTAAATGGAAAACAATCAGAAAATAAAATAAATATACACCACTTTTAATTTATTTTTATAATATCATTTTTGTGTTTTTTTTCCTGTACACATGTAAATGCAAGTACACACACACATGCATGAACAAAGAAAAAAGTGTAAAATAAAAAGTAAAAAAAATGGAGAATAAAAAATTCTATAATTTACTCTTTTTAAAAAAAAAAGATTTGCAAATTTTCTATACTTCAAGTAAGAGAAAATATTGAGGTAACTTAAATTTCACTATATTGCATAAAAACAATTATCCTAAAAATTCTTTGGTAGTATTATCACCTATATTCATTTTGCAAAAAAAAAGAAAAAAAAAAAAGGAAAGGAAAGAAAAAAATAAGAAATGCACAAAAGCATTTGAAACTATATTTTATTTGAAAACAATTTATATAAAAATGCTAAAAATTATTCTCTATATGAAATATCCTGAAAATGACTTGAAAATTATTTTTTATGATTTAAAATAGAAATAATTCCTTTCCAAACTTTGCAAAAATTACTGCAATTTATTTACTTAGTTAACATATAAAAATACTTCTGAATTTCAAATAGACAGGCCATAACGATTATTCTTTTTTGAAGAAAAATACACCTGGTATATCCTTGTTCCAAGCACCCTTTTAAATATTCAAATAAAACACTTTAACTTAAAATGCTTAATCATACTTATTATAAAACCCAGGTTGTGTGTGTGTGTGTGTCTGTATGTTTATATATTGGATCGGATTTCCTACATTTTTCAACCGATTTCAACAAAACTTCACAGGACTATGTAAAATTACCTTGCAGTGGTTCTGGCAGTGCCAAAAATTGAACAAACACAATTATTTTTGCACAAAATCGATTTGAAAACACGATTAAGAGGCATCGCGAGAGTGAAAGGGGGACAACTCATATCGAGTTATACTTATTATAAAACTCAGGTTGTTTGTGTGTGAGTATGTTCGTTTATATATGGGATCAGATTTCCTACATTTTTTAACCGATTTCAACAAAACTTCACTTTTTTTTTGGCAGGTAGTGTTTCTTATTGTCTTGCACACTTTTTTCTTTATTTTTACATTCAGAATGCTTTAAAAATTCCATTTACAAGACAATTGTTTATAATAAAATTCTATTCAATCGGTAGACTCATAACGATTGAAAACAATGTTTTTGTTTGAGTTTGAACAATTCGTAAAAAAAAACAAAAAACAAATTAATTGAGACATGCATGTCTGTCAACCTTAAACAATAATCTTTGTCAATTTTATTTTTCAGTCTTTATGATGGTCGATACTTGATCTATCTTTTACTGTTACATCCCCGGGCAATGCCGGGCCCTACTGCTAGTATTTAATAAAAGGAGTGTTTGGAATAAGGATATCCAGGGTGGATTTTTGTGTAAAAAAGAATAACTCTTCTGCCCTGCTTATTTGAAACTCAAAGTTTAGCTGCTTCTTTGAATTCTTTTGATTCAATTAGGCAATTTATTGTAAGAAGCTGTACTAAAAATTCAATATAATTAATTTTATAAATTCAAATTAATTATGATAGAAATTAACTGAGAATATACCATAAAAGGGATTCAAAATGATTTACTATTATAAGAAAATAATAAATATCATTAAAACATTTTAATTTTAGTAAGTGCTGAAAATATTTTAATATTTAAAATGCAGAATATGATAGATCAAAGCTAAAAAACATTGTGAAAATCATATAAATATTTTTACAATATAGAAACATTCATATACAGACCTGTCATTTTCATAACCAATAAATACATTTGCTGCAGGATTATTTATAAAAAATCATATTCGCTTAAATTTTAAGCATTAGATAGAATTTTTATCAGCACTTTTATTCTAACATCAGTTTTGATAGCTTGATATGATTCCAGAGCATTTTACAGTATAAGATGTTGAAAAACTGAGACAAGTAACAAGTAAATATTTAAAATTTACCTACTCACAAAACAAATTATTTATTATAACGATATTATTTTAAAAGATTTTACATCCATTTTTTATTGTATTATTTTAATAAGCTTAAATGATTTGAGTTAATTTTGTCTTTAAATTGTACTGGATATAATTGAGTAGAAAAAATTGTGAACAGCTGAAAAAGGGAAGAAAAAGGAGAAAGATTAACAAGAATTCAAAATGGCTGACACATTCAATGAATGTTTAACACTAGAAAATCAATAGGCTAAATTCTCCTTTTTTAAAAGTTATATACAATTTTATTTGTTTATAAAGAAGAAGGTGCTAATTTGAAGTTAATCTGCTAAGAAAATGTATTAAAAAATATAAGTATCATAATAATATACTTATAAAATATAACATATATAAAATGCTTATTTAAATTAAATAAAACTATATAAATATTACAATGTATCTGATGTGTTCATATTCTGATGAGAGAGCCATCCACTGAAGCTTGAAATAGACACTTTTGTAAAACATGTCTCATTATAATTTGGCAAATACAGCATGTTATTTTCTGAATGCTTGTCTATAAAAAAATTACTTCATTTTCTGAACAATATAATTTATTATTTAAAGCAATATACTTATGTTATTTTTTAATAATTTGATAAATGGCATGATGTAGCTGAAAAGCGTTTGTTGTTGTGACTATTAGCAATATAAATTTATTAAAAACACACAACATTTTAAAAAAATAAATTCTCCATATTTCTTACCATAATTAAAATGATATTCTTTCTCCCTTTCACACACACACGTACAAATTATACTCATGTCCATACACATATTCACATGCGTTTATATATATATATATATATATATATATATATATATATATATATATATATATATATGAATAAAGACAAAAGAAAAACTATTCTTTCCTGACATGTTTCGTCCTCTGATGGACTTTATCAAGGAAAATGTAAGGATTTTATTTTGCAACATGTATTTATAAACAACTAAGAATATTGTTACATTTTCTAAATTTTTAAATTTAACAATGGTCATAACTATTCATCAGGTTGTGAAAATTAAGGTAATCTATGGATTATGTGAAGTGATATAAATTAATTTAGCATCTAACATAGTTTACATTGACTTTCACAGTTAACTTGACAAAAATTTATGAGTGTTCTTAAAATTAAAAATTTTGAAAACCTAATTATATTTTTATTTGTTTATGAATACATGTTGCAAAATAAAATCTTTACATTTGTCTTGATAAAGACAACCAGTGAATGAAACTAGTTTTTTTACAGATATATTTCTATTTATACCTGAAATTTTTTACGCATACACACACACATATACTATATATATATATATATATATATATATATATATATATATATATATATATATATATATATATATATATCTTCAAAGGATGATATGGAAAAGTAATAGTAAGGGAAAGACTTTCAATATTTACCCACCCAAAAAAATTGGCTACATGCAAAAAGGTAATCTAAGCAATACCAAAACAAAATGAAAAAAAATACAAATAAAAATATATATAAAATATCTACATTCCTGCAAAGAAGATATGACATTGAACAGAACAACAGTGTAACAACATATATAAAATAAAATTTGATGACTTTAATCAAGTCAGAAATCAAAATTTGTTCAAGAAAGTGATGAATTTTCTAAGATATTTTATAGCAGTGTAAAAATATTCCTTTCGTTGCATTCATGTAATTGGATCTAATATATCAGTGCGATAGAAATACCTTCTACATATACTGCCCAGAAATACCTCCCATATAATGATAAGACATTAGTGAGATGAAGACGCCATTGCCACTAATGTCTTATGTGGGAGGTATTTCTGCCATACCCTGTAATATCTTGAATATGATACACTTAATTATAGTATATACTGCAAAGTTATCATAGATTTTTTAAGGGTTTTCTCTGATACTGTTGATAAAACATGATGGAAATTAAATTACTTGAATTCTGAATATGAATTTAAATATACTACTAGATTGGCAATAAGGTTTAATCATCTTACAGTTGAAATTACAGTTAAAAGCTTCTTGCTTTCCAATCAACTTTGATTTTTAAAAATTTAAATGAAATATCAACCATTATCTTCTTTTCTTTTATTGTTCTCTCTCCTTAATAGATTTTTTTTCTCTTATTCTCTCAAACTCAGTAACTCCTTGCATTTTAGTGGCTTTATTGCCTTACTTGGGATGAAATGGTTTAAAAACTTTATAACTTTTTTCAGGTATGGGCAGAAATTAATATCAACTGTCAAGGTTACTTCCTTGGGCCTGCTAACAGTGACAAAAGAGTAAGAACTGAATGTCAACCTAGGGAAGCAACTGAAGTTCCCTGAAACAATTGTCTCAACAACAATAAGTACAGACATGGTACGGATCCCAGGTGTCTCCAAGCAAAGCAGACCATTCCTTGAGATTGTCACTTTGTAAAAGCTATCAAGAGGAAGCAAGCAATATATACTTGGTTGGTAAAAGAATACGAATGGAGTTGGGAGAAAATCAGTTGTATGACTGGCATTGTAAAGATTCGGTTGATGCCATCACATGCTATAATCAAAAACAAAATAGTTTGTTCATATTTTTACCAAACTGAGGCCATGTTCAGAAAATTATGGTATAAGAATTATGTACCCTGATTATTAATTTCTCCAACAATAAGCTTGAAGAAAATAGTCATTATTATAAATTACCAGTTGGTTTTAGTTTAAAAGCAACTGAACTTGATTTACTTAACAGTAAAACTAAATACTGAACTCAGAATTTTGTATTATGCCTAACAATCTATCAATAATTTCTTATCAGAAATGACCTAATTTCTGCATGCTTGTTTATGTGTTTGTTATCATAAAAGAACAAAAATGGAACATCATAGGATAGTCTTTGTTAGTGCAATACTATTAAAATACACTAATTTGGACAATAAGGTAATTTCCAGTCCAACTTGGCTATCAGTTTTTGCTTAATCTTTAATTAAGTATAAACT